AAGCAATTGTTAAAAGCACCTCTTAGGCTGTTATCAGTAGAAATATGAAATAAAAGATAAACATGCAAAAACATTAATGGCACAATAAACTGTCACGATTTTGCCTTTAGGCTTGAGATACACTAAAATCTAGATTTAATTAATCGACTTGCACGTTGGAATAAGATAGTAAAACTCACAAGAGAACTTTGTAGAACTTAGGCAGGTAAATAATCTCAAGCATAACTTTAAAAACAGAAATTGCCCTGAGTACCAAGGATGAGTAATAATGAAATCAAAACATATTGTAATAACATATAATACAAACTATATTGGAGATTACAAAGAAGAGATTATTCATAAATGATAACGCTTGGAAAGAATCAAACAAACACATTTCTGGAAACAGATTGTATAAATGCTACAAAAGAGAAACATATATTTTCTCCCCAAGCATCGCAAGACCTTAAAGTCAATTCTCGCTTTTCTTGCAATATTTTCTACCTTTTCAATTCATAGAATTACTCAAGAAAACTACCTCAGTTGGTTGCTCCTTTTTCTTGATTCCTTTCCCCAGAAATGACCAAGTTTCTTTTTCATCAGTAGATTTCTGGGCTCCTATATTCACTAGAGATTGCAACTCCTGGATTTCTCTTACACCAGAATCCCATTTCGAGCCATATGGGAGATTCTGAATTCCAGAACAAAGGAATTTTGTAATTTAAAATTCATGATTGCTCAATGGAATCATTTTAATTTTTACTTCATTTCTGTCGCTATTTAAAACTTAAGTGGAGAGTTTTCTCAGGGGTGAGAAAACCACAATCAAGGTCATACAAAACTTTTAGAGGCGGTCAGTCTGCTAAGAAGGCTCCAGCAAGAGAAACGGGATCTTCTGTTTGAACAATGATTACTTAAGAAAAAATTAAGAAAATGAAATAAGTTTTGCAGAATAGTTGTGAAAATTTTATTCATAAAATATGTACTTACACTTTGGGCCACGTGATGTCACTCTTTGCCGCGATGTTCTCTCTGAATCCAGACAAATACAGCCCTTTTCCCACGGGAAAGAGGCTCAATTCTTTTTCACTCTCTCTATGCTGAACAATGGCGAACACAGCGGAAGGGGACTGACGAAATCAGATGATTTCTCCTAATTTGAAGGCAGTTTTCACTAATTAGAAGAAGACTTAGTATTTGAAATGTTGTACTCAAGTCGAGGAGATCCAGAGGGTCAGCCTCTACTGCTCTCGCTTCTGATCCTGGCGATGTGGGTGGTAGGGAGCGGCCAGCTCCACTACTCCGTCCCGGAGGAAGCCAAACACGGCACCTACGTCGGCCGCATTGCGCAGGACCTGGGGCTGGAGCTGGGGGAGCTGGTGCCGCGCCTGTTCCAGTTGGATTCCAAAGGCCGCGGGGACCTTCTGGAGGTAAATCTGCAGAATGGCATTTTGTTTGTGAATTCTCGGATCGACCGCGAGGAACTGTGTGGGCGGAGTGCGGAGTGCAGCATCCACCTGGAGGTGATCGTGGACAGGCCGCTGCAGGTTTTCCATGTGGACGTGGAGGTGAAGGACATTAACGACAACCCTCCCGTGTTCCCAGCGACACAAAAGAACCTGTTCATCGCGGAATCCAGGCCGCTTGACTCTCGGTTTCCACTAGAGGGCGCGTCCGATGCAGATATCGGGGAGAACGCCTTGCTCACTTACAGACTGAGCCCCAATGAGTATTTCTCCCTGGATGTGCCAACCAGCAACCAGCAGGTAAAACCTCTTGGGCTTGTATTACGGAAACTTTTAGACAGAGAAAAAACTCCGGAGCTTCATTTATTGCTCACGGCCACCGA